AGATGTCCAGTCTCAGCCGCCTGAGAAGAAACCCAAGATTGAGAACATGGCCCCGGTCAATGTCCGCGTTGAGGATTCAGGCAAGAATTCAACTTTGCCCGCAGAGGCTCCTGCAGCGTCAAGCGACCAGATCGAGGAGCCCAAGACAAAGCCCAAGCCTGATCAGCAGCCTGTGAATGAGAAGAAGCCCCCGGTGGAGGTCCTTGTTCCTGTTGAGCAGCCTGACAAAAAGCCCGCTTTGCCTGCAGGTGTTCCTGCAGATGTTCCTGACACGAAGCCCAAGCTTCAGCCGCAGCTTCTTGCTAACAATGAGCCTCAGAGACCTGTCAAGGTTGAGCGGCCAGGAGGCACCCCTGCAGCAAGCGACCAGATGGAGGAGTCCAAGCCTGATCAGCAGCCTGTAGATGAGAAACCTACCCCGGTTCCTGATGCTAAGTCCGCTTTACCTACAGTTCCTGGAGCTCCTAAGCAGGAGCCGCAGCTTAAGAAAGAGACCTCCATACCAATCAAGGTTGAGAAGGCGGAAAGCTCTGCACGGCAGCGTGACAAACAGCGTGCAAAGAGACTTGAGATCGCCATGGAAGCTTCACCTGTAGCTTTCAGTTGTTTTCCTTTTTCTTCGCTGAATTTTGACTTTTTTTATGCTTTTTTTTTTCGATGTGTTTGTTGAACCGTTTTTGGGGCTCTATCTCTGTCATGTTTTTTAGAATGTTTTTTTGGTCTGATTTTGGTTCAGGCAGACCATGCAAAGAAAGTGTCCAAGCTCGGAGAATTCCTGAGTGCGCTGGATCTTTGCTTGCTGGGCACGCGGTGTGGGGTGGATACTCGGATTTGCTTAGCAAGCCCACTGTATATCTTTGTTATTCTTTGTTTTTTCAATTTCACTGATCAACTTTAGTATACTTTAGCTGCAAGTTGACTTGACTGAAGATATTGGTACCTCCAGGCAATCAAAGTTGTGGTGGACACCGTGCACAAACCCTTGCCGAAAGTGGGGAGCCTGCCTAGCCTCAAGGACTACATGACTGATGTGAGTGTGCGCAGCTTTCCTGTTGACATGTCAGGGACTCCAACTTGGATCCTAGTGAGTACGAATGCAGAATACCGTCCAGACCAAGGATTGAACCATTGGGTTCCTGCAATTGCCCGGGATGATGGAGGGTTGACGCACGATCTCTTTGATGCCTTGGCTTCTGTTGCAACCTCTGACGCGGACCTTCAATCTGCTGAGCTTCAAGCAAAATACATCGAGTTGGGCAAATTGCGGGATGGCTGAGACGGCAGAAGGAGATCAGATTGGAAAAGCCCCCCCATGCTGACGATGCTGACCTTGAAGTTCCTGAATTTGAAGCGCCAGAGCTTGGCAAGCAGAAAGTGAAGGTTCGAAACCGCTGCGGCCGCCGCAAGAAGCAGACTAAGGTAGAGATGCAGATGCAGGATCTTCGGCAATATCTGTCCCGGCTTCGTGTTGACTATGGTGCCTGGATGTCAGCTCATTGGGCAGCAACTGGCTCCAAGAAGGCAGGGTCTTGCTGTGACGGGAAATACTCTGACTTCGTACGGAAGTTGGCCTCCTTACCTCCAGAAGAATGTGACCAGAGTATCCACTGCTCAGTTTGCAAGATCTTCTTGTCGAAGGCCGGTTTTTCGCACGAAGACAAGCTGCGATACTTCGAGAAATCCCTGGAGGAAAAGGCGCAAGAGCCGCCAGAGCCTTGCCCTGTGGGTGCTGGTGAGACTGGTGAGCAGGCTGGCCAGAAGGATGACAAGCAGGGTGATGAGGCTGAGGAGGATGCCCCTCCAGAGGACTTGAGCATTGATATATTGGTTCGCTCTGTTTGCCAGTACTATCAGGCAGGCTGAGTATGGCGAAACACACCGCTTATCACAGCTTGTCTAATTCACTTTCCTGATCTTTCTGGCATCATCGCATCCTATAAAGTCAATTGTCTCCACCCCCCTGCCCATGGAATGAAAGCATGTGCTTGGGCCATGCCTATTGCTTCATTGGAGGTTGGTGGGCCTATAAAATGGGTTGACCCCACCCCTAGACATGTAATAAACGTGTTATTTACACCTGTGTCTGGGATTTGCCTTGTTGGGGAGCTCTGC